TCTGGGAGAGGCTGCAGCAGTGGGAAAAACGGGTTGGAACACCTAACATGTTCTCAAAGGTGTTAGGCTTTAACTTTAAAGGAACGAATATTGTACCCTAAGGGAATGTACATAGCACAGCTGGGTGCCAGATGACACGGGGTACTCTGTGGCCCGGGAGAGTGGGAATCTGTTGTTGATTTTCTTAAAGGATACATGCACTTGCAGGTAAACAAAATGTGCAGCATTGCATGTAAAGCTTTGAACCAGCGACCAGCAAATGTCTGGTGCCATACAGGTCTCCAGCAGACTGTCAGTTTAATCCGTGTACTCATACCTTGTACAAGCAGACAGTTTAACATTCAAGGTAAGACTGAGTGAACTACTCCAGTGCTCCACAGCGGCGTGGTAGTTCATTGAGAACTACAAGCAGACATCTGCAAAGAATGTCAGTACTTGTAGTTGATTAACCTCCCTGGCGGTATGATTCTTTCCGATTTTATGTGCTGAAAGCGGTACCATTTTTTTGCATGGAAATATGTAGTTTTTTATTGTAGGCTGTAATTTTTTAGGAATAACTCACTGAAATCTGTCTGAACAAGAGTCTAGTAAACATCCCGGATATGATAAAATTTGAAACACGAAATCGTAAATTATAATTTAATAAATAATCATAAAAAATAATAATATAATAATAATAAATTTAATTCAATAATATAATCAAACCAAAAACACTGAAATTTGAAATACAGAGCAAATTCGCACATCACTGAGCAAAGTCGCAAAATCGTTTTCAGTGTCTGATGACGAATTTCCCCACGAATCATTATCACTCAATTCTGCAAGTGGTTCTGATTTACCGTATTTTCCGGCGTATAAGACGACTTTTCAACCCCTGAAAATCTTCTGAAAAGTCGGGGGTCGTCTTATACGCCGGTGCGAGCCGGTGTCAGGGCGGCACTTTTTCGAGGGGCTGCGCGACGCCGCCCCCCCCCTCCTTCTCCAACGGACACTAAGTACAGGGGTGGGCAGAGGGGCTGCTGTACCTTACCTGGCTCCGGTCCCACGACGATCCGGTCCAGGAAGCGCGGCTGCTCCTTCTTTCAGTTCGGCCGCTCGATGGTCACGCGGCCGCTCGGCTCCGCCTCCTCACCGATGATTGGGCGCCAGCACTGGAAAGGCACACAGGCGACCAATCACCAGCGAGGAGGCGGAGCCGAGCGGCCCCGCAAAAATTCGAGCGGCCGAACTGGAAGAAGGAGCAGCCGCTCCTCTCCCCCACTGACACTAACGATGGGGCACTATTCCTCCTCCACACTGACACCAACGATGAGGCACTGTTCTCCCCACTGATACCAATGATGGGGCACTATTCCTCCTCCCCACTGACACCAATGATGGGGCACTATTCTCCCCACTGACACCAATGATGGGGCACTATTCTCCCCACTGACACCAATGATGGGGCACTATTCTCCCCACTGATACCAATGATGGGGCACTATTCCTCCTCCCCACTGACACCAATGATGGGGCACTATTCTCCCCACTGACACCAATGATGGGGCACTATTCTCCCCACTGACACCAATGATGGGGCACTATTCTCCCCACTGATACTAATGATGGGGCGCAATTCCTCCCACTGACACCAATGATGGGGCGCAATTCCTCCCACTGACACCAATGATGGGGCGCAATTCTTGCCACTGATACCAATGATGGGGCGCTATTCCTCCCACTGACACCAATGATGGGGCGCAATTCCTGCCACTGATACCAATGATGGGGCGCTATTCCTCCCACTGACACCAATGATGGGGCGCTATTCCTCCCACTGACACCAATGATGGGGCGCTATTCCTCCCACTGATACTAATGATGGGGTGCTATTCCTCCCACTGATACCAATGATGGGCCACTATTCCTCCCACTGACACCAATGATGGAGCACTATTCCTCCCACTGACACCAATGATGGGGCACGATTCTTCCCACTGACACCAATGATGGGGCACTATTCCTCCCACTGACTAATGATGGGGCACTATTCCTCCCACTGACTAATGATGGGGCACTATTCCTCACACACTGACACTAATGATGGGGCACCATCATTGGTGTCAGTGGGAGGAATAGTGTCCCATCATTGGTATCAGTGGGAGGAATAGTGCTCCATCATTGGTGTCAGTGGGAGGAGTAGTGCCTCATCATTGGTGTCAGTGGGAGGAATAGCACCCCATCATTGGAATACCATACTGAAATAGCATACCATATTGAAATCAAATCTGATGTTTTTTCATTTTTATTTGGTGTGCGTTGGAAGAGGGGTAGTCTTATACGCCGAGTATAGCTCAAACCCTATATTTTAACAGGAAAAGTAGGGGGTCGTCTTATACGCCCAGTCGTCTTATACGCCGGAAAATACGGTACTATCGCTGTTCTAAAACCGCTTTTGACCTAAAGGGACGCTTTTTGGACGCCATGGACTTTTCTAAGTTTTCAGGCAGAAAGAACATTCAAAATGCAGGCAGGGCACAGGACAAAGCAGTAGGGACAAAATGTATGTGAAATGCATTGAAATAGCAATGACAGCAAAAATGAAATTTTTTAAAAAATTCAATTTTCCCGCCGGTTCCGGCGCCCGTACGTCCCCACGTCACAGGGACCGGAACACAGAAGCCGGATGCCGGCATCGGCCGGAGGAGATGGCTGGGGACGCTGGAGGGGACACATCGCGGGAGCGAAGGACAAGGTAAGTGCTGCAGGGACCCCCAGAGAACGCCGCATGGTAAGCCCGAGTGTAGCTCGGGGTTACCGCTTTTGGTATAGAAATTTTACCCCGAGCTACACTCGGGAATACCGCCAGGGAGGTTAATTCACAAAACACTGAATGAATGATGCAGCCGTTTGGGCAGAGCCACCCTTGGCTGCACTGATTTAAAAAACTGACAGCTAATATGGAGAATTTCTCCCTGTACTACTGTCACAGTGTGTTTGTGAGGGGGGGAGGGGGGATGGTAGTGATCAGGCAGCCGCTGCAGCAATGGGAACAGGTTACATCTTCTACCCTAAAAATGATGACTTTAGACAAATGTTCGTATCTATAGTGCATGCAGTTCTATCTTTGACTTTTAAGTTACCTTGTGAAAGGGCTCTATTCAATACATCTGCGGGATAACCCCATTCCAAAAAATTTTTACAAACATTTTTCAGTGTCAGAGCAATTACGCAATAGCCGCATAAATTAGAGAACCGGTAACTTTTCAATTAAGTTTCTGGGATGAGCACTAAAAAGATGCATCATAGTGAAATCCTTATCGAGAAAAACACTAACAGAACTTTGCTGAAACATTCCTACAAAACAGAACGTTAACAATACCAAGAAATTCCCTCTAGTCTCCTTCATTACCCCCGGTTCACATAAATGCAGCTGTGCGGTGCGCGTTTTGTGTGGGCACAAGAGCCCATTCATTTGAATGGACTCTCGTGCCCCGTGACACGCAGGGAAGAAGTCCCTGCACTTCGTCTGAAAACGCAGCCCGCACGGGAACCTCGGTTCCCAGTACGGTTGCGTTTTCCAGTGCGGGCGGCGTGCCATTAGAACTAATGGCACCCACCCGTGGGTCCGCATTCCTCTGTGCGGGTGGTGCGGCTGCACAGATTTTTGTGCAGATCCGCAGCCACACCACCAGCACATATGTAAACCTAGCCTTAGGCCCCTTTCACACGGATGTTCTCATCGGGAACGCATGCCCAGGTGGATCAGATCAGAACCTCCATTATCCACTATGGAGGGGCGGGTGTAAATGGACATGTGTCCCTTTACACTTGCCAACATCCAAACCTATCTGCCAAAAAAAGACGGATGGGGATTCGTTCCTCCTTAGCCTGTTGGATCAGATAGCAGTCAGATGGAAACAGACAGGTGGTCTGACTGCCCATAGAGGACAGCGGGCTGTGTCCGCTCTGCACAGACCTGTCATCCACTTGCTCAGTGGGGATCAGCAGACAGATCCCCCACTGAGCAAGCGGATCTGCTGACGGGTCCGTCCCATGTGAAAGGGGCCTAAGTTGTATTTCATCAATGGGCAGAGCTTCCTCCAGTCTTGATCCAGTCTCGATCGATAATATTGATAAAGTATTTCTTATAGGGTGTTGTGGTAGGAAACAAAATTCTGGTGAAAGGACTAGCACTTTTTCATTCTGGTTTTAAGATGGCAGGAAATTTGACTTGAAAGCACAATCACTGTTCTAAATAGAGTGTATTAATATGTAAGTTGTACTTTATTTTCCTATTGTCTACAAATTGGTGCTGTCTGCTAAGCACTGCTGTTAGGCATGGTTTTTTTTAAGCCAATCAAAAAGTATGACTGCTATTTTCAGCATCCTAAGTTCAGTTATTTTTTTTTTTTATTGAGGGTACTACTGGGCTTTTTATCATTTATTTATTTATTTTATTTATAATTTTCACCCAAGATTCACACATTCTTCTAATTGTATTCTATTAGAAAACTGTGTAGAAATGTCTGGTACAAAATCTGGTGCAGCTCATCATAGTAACCAATCAGCTTCTAACTTCAGCTTGTTCAGTTAGGCTTTGACTTAAAAAACTGGAAGCTGATTGGTTACTATGCTGAGCTGCACCAGATTTTGCACTCTGCGGTTTTGGAAAATTGCTTGAATCCCTCCTGCAGAAGTGTTTTACCAGCGGGGAGCCTTTCTGGCCGGGAGAACACAGTGATTATTGTCAGTAGCTATAGCAGCTGGCAATAATCACATGTAAAAATCCGACAGGCTGGTAGTACCCAAGTCGTACAACAATCTAATCGGGTGCAATCGGCCTGGCCATAGATGGCTTGAATCTTGGTTGGTCCCTACTGCACTGGCTAAGATTCTTCTATGGCCATAGTATGTACATAATATGGTTTCCAATTTAAAAAAAACATGGATTTTAATTCTTGTAAACATTTATGCAGAGATATTTTTCAGTAAAAGTCTAAATATATTTTTATCTTTAACAGATTGATGAACTGCCGGAAGGAGCTGTGAAACCACCAGCAAATAAATTTCCAATTTTCTTTTTTGGCACTCATGAGACGTAAGTCATTTTCAATGGATTAATATATATTGTAGGCATAACACCCCTACCGAGTGACAGTGCATAAGGAGAAGTTAAGGTAATCACAAATACAGGAAGAAGCCCAAATAGATCTACCAACAAGTAAGCACATTTAGTTTATTGCAGTACAGAGCACCCATATTGGTGTGCTCTTCAACAGATCCAAGGGAGCTAGAGTTGCATGCAAGTAGGTGTGTCACTTTTTCTGCCTTCAACCCCTTTTCTCACAGGTTAAAGTTTTTTTTTTATTTTTTACATACAGAGGTCCAAAACATCTGTTCAATTTTTATTATGTGCATATTAATGAGATAGTAAAACAAATAATGCCTTGCCTTTTTAAGGAAATACATTGTCTTTTTTATTTCAGACCATGTAAGGAAACATAAAAAATATCAATGTTTCTATTCTGTTTATTATATTTTTTATAACTATTTGTGTTTTCTGTGAGCTGTATGTGCTTCTCTTTACACCCCATTAGGCACTTTTTTGAAGAGGGGAGGAGTGTTTGCCCTGGAATCACTTCATATCTTAATTGTACAGGACACAGGCCTTTTATTCATAGACCATGGGTTATATGCAGGCTAGCGTCTGGTGATTGGACGCTGGCAAAAAACTTGCTAAGGCCGCCCCTGGTGTGCAGTTATGTAAACTGGGCCACTCTGTGAAACTCCATTTTTGTGCTAGTGTGCTTTGGCGAAGGCCATGTTCTTGTATTTTCCTTTTTACATTGTTGATTGTTTTTTTCTGAAGCTTCTATCAAGATCTGACTGATTATTGCCTGTGGTTACCTAGCAGTTTCTGCATCACTTACACTTGGTGTGTACCTTGGGGACTGTACCTGGACCCCACTAGGATCCTGTGTTAGGTGCTGACCTTGACACATAGTGCAATGTTTATATTTAGCCTCTGGGTGCTATACAGGGCCATGATGTATTTTCTATGGTTCCCAGACCCTGAAGACCCCTTTGGGGGTTTGCCTTGGTGGGAAAAGTCTTGGCCAGTGTTGTGAATAAGCTAAGACAGGGTTTCCCTGTATATTGATTCAGTTTTAATAAACATCTTACAGTTCCAATTCTGTTCCATTGAGGATGTTGCCTCTTTTAAGGATTCAGTTGATATGATCTTAACGGCCATCTCTGACTTTGTAGGTCCTACCCTACAGACAGCAATTGCTGCCATGTCTGTTTGCCAGACTGTTGCTAACTTGACATGACAAATGAACAATGATCAGGAACCTGATCAGGAATCAATGGGATCTGCCAGTGCTTCTCTCAGACAAGAGGAATTTCTAGCATCATACGAAATATGGGATGCTTATCTGCACATTTCAATCTTCCCCTCACATCAATATTTTTCTGCGTTTTGCAGTGGGAGACCAACACTTCTAATTTGTAGCAGTACCATTTGGGCTCTCTTCTGCACCCCAAGTATTTACAGAAGTGCTTGCCTTGCTTCTGGCTGTTCTGCTAACCAAGGGCATTCATGTCACAGGTTACCTGAACGACCTCCTACAAAAGGACTTCTCAACCACAACCTTATCTGCGAGCAACAAAAGGATGATTCAGTTCCTATAAACCTCAGCTGTATAATCAACTTTTCCAGGTCTCTCCAGCCTTGACACTTTCTGGAGTACCTGGGGCTAATCTTGGACACAGCAGAAGACAGAGTTTTCCTCTCTCAGGAGAAAGTTGCTTCCCAAAGGTCCCACACGAGGAACTGCAGAACTAAATGGCACCCCTCAGTTTGCTTCTGCATTAGGGCTCTGGGTCTCCTTTAACAGATAGGTTCACCTTTTAAAAATTATAATAAATGCACATTTCTCTTATGTTCATTGACAGACACAGCTGCTTCTTCTGTATCCATGACCAAACAGGGTTTTATAGCCCCACCTATAAAAACCGGTTTGGGCATGGATGAAGAAGAAGCAGCTGTGTCCGTCAGTGAACTCAGAGAAAGGGATTTTACAGTAACAAAAGATCTGTTTTTTTTGCAGGTAAAAAAATATGCATTTACTATTTTTTTCTTAGGAACCTGTAAAGCATTGCACGACCAGCGGATCGCAGGTGCAATGTCAGGCTAATGCAGACTTTCAGTGTAGCTGTCTGCCCGTATCTCCAATATGGGAAGAACCAATGAACTGTGAGGATGCTAACCAACACCTTGTTATTCATTGAGAAATACAAGCCGTCAGCAGCAAAGACTGTCGGTACTAGTCTATTCATTTACAGAATTCTGTGAATGAATGAGGCCGGTGTGTGTGGGCAGAGCACCGCATGGCTGCACTCTTTTCAAATTATGACAGTGGCTGCAGGAGCGGGAACATGTTACATGTTCCACCCGTTTGTATCCTGTTTCTGAAGGGCAACTTATCCATTAGGGCAGTTCCCTTAGCCCAGTTTCACTGCAGACCTTTTTTAATCCAACATACCCATGACATGGAACAAGCAACTCCAATTCTTTTATTACCCAATGCTAAAGCATCAAGGAGGCAGCAGAAGTCAAGCAGCCCTAAGACAAACAAGTCTGATACTCATGTTCTAGTTCTCTCGGCCATACACATCTCTGAAGTAGATAATTGGCAGATTGACTGTGTAAGCCGTCACCGCCTGGACAGGGGAGTGGTCTCTGCACCAATAGATCTTTCAAAATCTCTGTGAAAAGTGGGGATACCAGATGTAGGTATCCTGGAATCCAAGTACAACAACAAATTTGTGGCCAAGACCAGGGATCCTCTAGCCTTCACAGTAGATGCTGTGGTGATTCATTGGACTCAGTTCAAGGGTTTATGCCTTCCCTCCAATGAAAACCCTCTCTTGACTGCTATACAAGGTAGAAGAGGAAAAGGTTCCGGTGATTCTCATTGCACCAAACTGGCTTAGGTGGACATGGTACACATACATACCCAGACTTCTTGCAAATGAGCCTTGGCCTCTTCCACACAGACAGACTTTGTGGCCCAAGGTCGCCCATTGCATCCTGCTTCTGTGTCACCGATTTTAACAGGATGGTGGATGAAATCCAAGTCCCAAAGGATAGGGGTATTTTTGATTCTGCTATTCCCACCTTACTCATTGAAAAATATTCCAACTCTCACAAGATTTCACATTGCACATCAAAAGCTTTCTTTGCCTGGTGCAAGGGCAGGAAGCTGAGTCTCAGGAAATACTCTATCTCTCATATTTTGACTTTTCTTTAGTCTGGCCTTGACCAGCATCTGGTCCTAATTACCCTTAGGGGACAGGTTTCTGCTTTATCCATTCCATCTCAGAAACCTCTTGCTTCCCACTCCTTAATCAGGACTTTTCTCCACGGAGTTGCTCATATAAAGATAATAGCAATTTTCACTTTCCTGTACATTTCTTTTCTTGGAGTACAGTAGAAGTCACAGACCCCTCCCTGAAGGAGGGATCTTATCAGTGCATACTAGGAGCAGCCCCAGCAATTTTTATTCAGTGCCCAGTCACCTGAAGATAGCTTGCCTGTAACCCATGATCTAGGAATACAGGTCCTGTGTACTGTACAATACTCCAAGGTAAGGAATTTACAGGTAAGTCACAGTTCCTATTTTTCCAGTAAGCAGGCTTTGGTGTTAGTATGTCATTTGCTGTCCATTTGTCTCTCAGCCACATCTATTGCTATTAAACCCACAGTGAGGTTGCAAATGTTAATTAGGCCAGCATTGGTTTCAGCACACCATCTGGACGCCTATACATCATGATTTTTTTTTTTTTTAGTATAACTTTTATTAGTATTATTTTTACAGTAGAACATAAAATGAGGATGAGCAATGTACACATTCATGTTTGCCCAAGATGCAATGAAAACATACAGATTTACATCTTAATTGGTTGCAGGCCAATGTGTAGCTGTTGCTTAAGAGGCGGGACATTGGTTACATGGTAACACAACCTGTTGTTTCTTGCTTCAACATGCTCTATGGTCATAACTGACTAGCGACAGGCACACATGCACACTGCCGACAGTAATTATCCTTGGCATATGATATGCACACGCTTGATGGATGCTAAACAACATTTGGTTGACTGAGGCATACAATGACAGATTTACATTGCTGGGGTCTTTGTCGCTTCTGGGCTGTCATATTGGATTAGGTGTTTAATGATAATAAATGATTTGTAAAAAAAAAACTATATGTGGGTTTGGATTTTTTTACATGAGCTTTATACTGACCATATGCTGCTTATGTTGTCTTAAAGGACTGTTACATATTGATCTCATTCATGCTTCTTTGTGATTGGTAACTTTTTTTTTTATTTTGAAGTGGCAACATTTTATATGCAGCCAGAAGTACTGTTATAATTTTGTACAAGTCACTTTAATGCTAAAATCTAAGCAGATATAAAAATCACGAATTAATGCAGCTTTGTAATAATTAATACATCAGATATGTATTTTTTGCAAACATTGCAAGAACCTGCATTTGAGTTGGTGTCAGTCTCTTGTAGTCTTCTGTGCAGTCTGTACAGCAGAGCTTAGAAGGAGGGAAGCAACACAAGAAGCCAGTCAGATGTGCTGCAATGTAAGGGGCATGCTATTAGGAGGAGATTTCAGAGTTATAGAGAATAGAGCTCATCATTTCATCTTTCAGCTACAGGGGTGGGGGGATGCATGCAAGTAAAAGTGAAACTGCAGCAGAGGAAGATCAAGTCCCCTCCCTTGTGTGTTGTGCTGTGCTCTGGTTCAGAGCTGTATAATTCTCAGGTCTGAATTTACAGAAATACAAATCTTTTGCCAGGCAACGCAGCTATAATATATTATTTTTATCTGTTTATTTAGCTATTTGCCTGGAGCTCAACTTTAGGAAAGTGAGAGTATTTGCCTAAGAAACATTGGTGTTAAACTTTAATTTCCTCACATGGTCTGAATTGAAAATTCAATATTTTGTTTCCTTGTCGTTCTATACTGTCATCTGTTTATTGCATTTGCAGTACCACCATTTACTTTGCAACAACATCAATAGTGACTGCATTTCCATATTTCCTAACTGCTTTTATAATAGTTATTATTGAACAAGCAATGGTGCATATATCTACACAAATAATTTCAAACATACATTTCTGATGTTACAAAGAAGAACCTTTGTAATGGAAGAAGCGCTATTGGTGCCACCTATTAGAAAAAAAAATAGGAAGAGCTGAAATGGACTAATAAAAGCCAGTAACAGTAAGTTGGCTTCCAGCGTGATGAACCAAGGGTGTTAAGGGTGGGAAAGCAAGACCCACTTCTTTTTGGGGGAGCATAGAGCAGCATCTTCATTGAAAAGAGGAGGCCAGTCTATGCCATCCTTAGATGTAGTCTTGCCTATATTCCCATCGCCCACATTCCTGGAAACAGGACTCATCAGTAGCGGGTGCTTCAGAGACTACCAACTGGATACTGGAAACATCATGGATAAATGCACATATATTCGACATAACACCAAGGAACTCCGAATGCAGTCCGAAGGCTTTTATTGAAGAAAGATCACATCACAAAAGAACAAGTACAATGTGACTTGCTCACCAGGGGGTTTCTCTGGAAATTTGGCATCTTCTCGGCCACCAAAAGAGGTGGTTCCTTCTACATTACCCAGAATCCATTGGACACCTTCTAGTAGTTGTTGCATTGTCACCTTTGGAAAGGATTAGGAATCCTTTCTGTATCAGGGCAGATAGCCTGCTTCCTGCGCTGGACAATACCATGCATCTTCATCACATGTGCGCTGTTTCTGACATGGCAAGTTCCAGTCTCTTGACTGGTAGTCTCTGGGTATAAGGAGTGGTTAATGCCATTTGGTGTACCTTAGGCCTCATGTACACTACTGCTTCTAAACATGAGCTTAGGAGCTTTTGGCGTTTTTTTGCCAAAGCCCTTGAACTCAACTCAATAAAAGCCTTTGTGTCCATGTACAAATAGGCTTTTACTAGAGTTGAAGGGCAGTTAAGCGTTCCTCTTCTGAACACAGAATAATCGCAGTCAGGAGAGGAACGTTTTGGCCAAAAAGTACTAAATGCAGCAAAACACATGTAAACATAGATAAACGTGTCTAAACGTTTGCCGTCAATGGAAAATACTCTGGCCAATCAAATGAATAAACGTCCAAGCATTAAATGCGTGGTACTGCGTTTACATAAATTTTTGCCGTGTTTAGCGTTTTTCTGCTGTCAAGAGAGTTAAACGACTAAGTGAGTTCATGTGCACATTAGGCCTTAGACTCTGTCTGGTCAAGTCTGTTGAGAAAGTCAGGGTCTCACAAGTTTGTTGGCAGCAACATACGTAGGTCTCCTGCTTCAGGATCCCTCTGGCAGAAACTGGGAACACTTTAGAGGCTGTTTATTGTGCTGGACTATACCACAATCTTCAAGTGTGTTACTTGTGAGGGCAATCCCCATGTTCTAGTATCTCTTTACTGATGGCTTCTTGACATAAAGTGAGGCACACATATTTTTCAAGAGTGCCATGAATCCCGGATGGGAACCAATAGGGTGAGGCCATCATCTGTGTGGGTGATCATGGCAGAATGCTTTCAAGTTTGAGTCCTTCCTCTTTACATTACCACACTGCTGTCACAATATTATTTCTGCCCATTCAAGAAGATCTGCAGGATCAGACATTGGGGTATGTGATTGCCTGAGCAGTTTAGGATCACCAGAGCAGGACACAATCTCTTTCAGGACCAATGACCAACAGGGCATTTCGGTCTCCTGCCACTGGAGTATTGAACAGAAATAGAAATTGAATAGGAGTAGAGAAGACTTTGGTGATTTCATGTTCCTTTCTTGATGAATGCTGATGCTTCGCTGTATGAGGGGGATCAGGAGCATGTTTAGATCCATGCCTAGAGGTCAGGGGTAGATAATATGAATTTTCTGCAGTATCCTTCTGTGTTCCTTAGGGTATTAGTGAAGATGAGTAAGCATTATCCTTATTTCTGTCAGGCCTCTTCTTTTTCAGGGTTTTTTTTTCCCCTGCATTTTTAGTTTTGATGACTTTGTGGGATCTAATTCCAGATTTCCCAGGAGTCTCTATACACACCTTAGAGATTGTCATGCTTGTCTGAATCAAGGCCCCCCTGATAAGTCTTCTTGCAATTTGTAGTAAAAACAGCTTTCATCTTTGAGGTCAGGGGCACAAAACCTTAGGTCCTTCCCATTTGGAATGGCTGGTCTTGGACCCCAGGTCAGGATTTGCAGGGATTTTCCCCTCAAATTCCTATTAGGACCTATACCCTTAGGAAGTGTGGCCCAATTTGTTGCGTGTCACGTCATGTTGTGGATCCTTGCTTCTCTTCAGAGGAATTTTTCCTGCTGTTTTTTCATGAACGTTACGCTATCAGTTTTTGCTGGGGTGGTAGCTCCAGCGTTTTTAGTACCCTGGCTAAAAATGTTGACAATTCAAATCGTGAAGTTCTAGTCCATTTGAGAGAAGATGCCATTTACAGGATGTGTTTTCTTCCATTTTTTAACAACCCAAGTTAATAGAGGGTTGTATCTTGCAGTACATACAATCACTTTGAGAATTAGATGTCTACTGTTTGTGTAGGATTTTCCCTGGAAGACCAGGAGTGTCCAGATAGGATTTTAGTACACTCCACTCTCTTTTCCATATGCATTTGCCAAGATGGGTGGTGCTACAATGGTCCTAGCTGGCATAGCCGCTGCAGGGTAAAGCCTACATGTTTTACAGCTGTTACAGATTGGACTTCATGTTTTGTCAAGATTTGTCTTTAGGTGTAGGCGTGCTCAGTTTGTAGATCTCTTTAAGTATACATTTTTGTATTCTCTCATGTGACTGTTTTGGATGACTTGGGAGAACACCAGCTATTATCCTATAACTCCTGTTCTAGGGATCGTCTAGGACAGTGACGTTCCTTCCCTAATTTTGCTTTAAAGTGGTATTAAAGGTTTGGCTTAAAAAAAAAGCAAAAAAAACCCAAAAAACATTATACTTCTGCTCTATTCAGTGGTTTCGCACAGTGCAGCCCTGATTCTCTTCTTCCTGGGTCCCCCTCCTGTTCTCCTGGCTCCTCTCGCTTGACCAGAGTCCCCAGTAGCAAGCCACTTGTTGTGAGGACTCTGGTGTGTGCTTACTTCCGAGCCCTACTGTATGCTTCCATAAAATACCTAGAGCTGTGGCTCGGCCCCAGCTGTGACTGGTTGTGATTGACAGCAGTGGGAGCCAGTGGTTCTCGCTGCTGTCTCAGCCAATGAGAAGGAGTCCTGGGACGGCCGAGGTTCACATGTACTTCATTGGATCAAGAGTGGGCTCCGGTGAGAATTGGGGGGGATGTGGGGGGGAGCAGCAGGCCTTTCAGGGTCCACCTATGTAAATACTGAAGGGCTGGAGCTATGGAGGAGCTTTTGACTTTTATGTGATTGTGTTTTCTGTAGGCAGACAGAGACTACCTCCTATGTGACTGTCATGTGTTTCTCCTCAAGCTTTCCATGGCAGTCACTATGACACACCCCCTTCCTCTGCTTGAGTTGTGACGCTGCTGATCTGGGACAAACTCCTGATGCTCAACACCAGCACTGTCAATCACTGTTCATTAGATATTCAACTCCTACAGATCAGCAAGGTGGAATAGCATTGGGGGTGCAGGGTCCACCACACTAGCTCTGGATCTACTACACCAATTTTTAAAGGGACAGAGTATTGCATGCAATTTGTCCCCAATACTTACCTCTCCTTCATTGATCTGACATCCCTCGCCAGTGCTGACATCTTCTATCTTGCTTCTTTTGGGTGCTGGGCTGAGGCCTCCTTCATTGGCCAGCATGGGAATGCACAGGAGTTCATTCTAAAGAAGACTGCATGTCTCTTCTGCAATAAGGAAGCAGCCTTCTTGCAGTTTTTAAAAAGGAGACTTTATTTATGCTTTAAGTATAGCATTAGACAATTATTGACATCCAATTTAAATATAGATTAACTGTAATAATGCAATAAATGTTTTTTTACTCATCACACCACTGATTCTGAACGGTCGCTTTGTTTTCTCATTGCAGTGCATTTTTGGGCCCGAAAGATCTGTTCCCATACAAGGAATTTAAGGACAAGTTTGGGAAGTCAAACAAAAGGAAAGGATTCAATGAAGGATTGTGGGAAATAGAGAACAACCCTGGAGTAAAATTTACTGGTTATCAAGTAAGCAAAAATCCGTTATTGATGGTATACTTTTAATGATTTAGTTGTAGATTATGCTATGAGACTATGAAAATAGAAATTACTGTTGTCTTTCTGAGCATGTAACGTTGAATTTAGGACTCAACTAAATCATAGGGGTCTATTTATAAAACATTTGATGGCAGGGGCAGACTGACCATTTGGAAACTCGGTCAGTAGGGGGCCCCATGAGATGCCCCTGGTAACTTTTTCATAGGCTCTTTTGAGTGTGGGCAAGGACACAGGGGCCCCATGATCCCTTATTGCCTGGGGGCCCCATGAGTTGTCAGTCCGCCCCTGTTCGATGGGCAGATGTCACACACATTTGGTCAGGCTGCTGCAAATATTTTGGCTGGTATTCTGTAGTAGATCAGTTCCAAGGATTATCAGCACCATCTAGTGGCCAACGTGGTATATTTTACTCACTGAGTTATTTTAGAAATCTATACCTACTGCAGTTTGGTCACTGGATTGAGCTGACAGTCCTTGTAATTGGTCTGTTAGAGAAATGGTGGCCCTCATATGAGCAGTCTGCACTCTTACAATTAATGTTTTATAAATAGATTCCAAAGTGTCTGCACTGATAGTTGCCCAGCACACATTGAATGGATAATGTTATGTGTATAGGGAAATTGCTGAGAAACAACAGTAGTGCAGATGACCAGCCCTTTTCTTCAGAATTCCAGCAAGGGTGACTGCTTTTCGTGTGCATTTGATTGCACACTTTGAAATACATAAACAGTGTCATATATGCACTATAGAAATCTGTGTAGTATGACCGAGAGGCGTTCATTCGTTGGTCGAAATCGAGGCCCACATTAACCAATCTAAAAAAGAAGCATTCGTCCGGCAATACGTAGTGTTGACATTTTCCATAGAAGTGGAAGTGATTCAGTGTGCGTGTGACCTCGTACCCACACCAGAACGAGCGATATACACAACAATTACCAGCAATGAGTATAATATCGTTTATTACATGACCTATATACATAAATAGTGATACATAAAAATATAGTCTGCAGAATTCTGCTTTCATTATCTCATTAGGCCAATCTACTTTTAACATTTGGATTTTTCATTCGTGTTTACGAAGATTCCTTGGACATAAACATCCGGGTCATCTTCTGTTTCCACTCATGCGTGATAGCGCTTGATAGATTTTTTCGTACGACCGTCATACCACCGCATAGAAAATCAGTCGTCCGTATGCAAAACAACAACATTTTTCACTGTTGTTCAACCGGATTTTTTAGTTCACAATATCATTATCGGTTAAAACATCCTGCTCATCAACGAAGAGAAAATCGTTCCATCAATGGTTCCGCAAACTTTTTCGTAGGATTTTCTTATCGTGTGTACGGGGCCTAAGGGTGGTGCAGCGTGCACTGAATTCAAATGCAAGTGCTAGACAGTTACATGAATTTGGGACACTTTTGCAAAATCTCTGTGTGCCAGTCTGTATGAATTTCATGGAGTATGTTCATATTTAATCTTTGTACCATTTCAGTCATTTTCTGTTTTAGCATTACTGGGTGAGTGAAGTTCAGGAAAATGTTAAAAGGTGTGTTATTAAGACAATTGGAACACTAAAACATGACACGTGTGCAATAGTAGAATACAAACAGTGAAACGTACCTTCAAACACTATGTATAAACGTAAAGTGTATTTTCAGTAAGTACACACTTGAGTTATTTCTCTAGAAGTTACTTTTGATGCGCCTTTTGCCACTTTCACAAGGTGATCTGATCAGGTCCACCTGTCAGTTTTTCAGGCGGACCTGATCAAATGGTTTATGTATCCCTATGGACAGGTGGGTGTAAACGGACTTGTGTCCATTTACACCCGCCTACCTCCTGGTCTGATCCAGTCCACGTAAATAAAAATGAAAAGGAATCTGTCCTCTTCCATTTAGGCCTATGGATTTATGGGTAGTTGGGTGTAAACGGACAGCGCAGTCCTTTTACACCCGGCCGTCTATAGAGCAGAGTAGGCTCTGTTCATGTCCACTCTGCAGAAACAGAGTGGACATGGATGTGTCATCCTCACACTCTGCTCCAATCAGCAAGGGACCTGTGAGTGGATACCTTGCTGATGGGAATGGAACCCTCCCTCTCTGCAAGGGACCTGTTCTTTTTTTTACTTTGTTGCTGCTCCTTGGTTTAAATGCATTTGCTTCATCTAGTGATCATGTCTTTATCAATAAATGTGGCCAGCATTTCTGTTTAATAGGGATCCATTCTGGGAGGTATATATATTCGACCATCACAAATATTTTAAAAATGCTGGTTGATGCTGTTTCTGGCTTTAGTACTTTTTGAATCACTTGCCCAGAACAAAAAATTCAGTAAATTGAGAAATACCTAATTTGCATAATTGTTTGGCTTCAGTCACTGAGAACATTTTCAAACTGTTGGATTTGCTAGACTCCCATTCAATACATTTTAGAAAGAGAGATCAGCAATGGTAGGCCATGTGTCTCTAAGGTTTCCTTTAGTAAGTGAACATGACATATCCTAAGACGTACCTAATAGTAACAACACTCTTCAGGTAATTGGGATGCCTGCAAATACCTATGTTAGCCTTTAGATTGATTCTTGTGTTCCAGTGGAGCCCATTGGATCTTAGGCTCAAGCTATACCCAAAGCCTCTGCTTTTCTTTTAAGTTGCAGTACAGGTCTAGGTACTAAGCTTTAATGTCAGTCATTCATTTATTAAAACCTGTGACTAAGATCCGAAGAGCTCCACATGGATACAGGGATTCATTTAAAGGCTGATGCTACTTTCACACTGCTCCACTGAAAAAAGGCATAAAAAAGGAATACATGTTTTTGCTGGGTTTTTTTAAATGTTGTTGTGGTGAGTTGTGTTTTTTTATGCGTTTTTGATTCGTTTGCATTGCATTTTTCTCCAACAGACACAGCACTTCCCACAGGCATGCTGTGTTTTTGATGCGGTTTCCATTCATTTTAATGGTGGGATGCATTTTTGTTGTCTTTTTTTTAAACTGTTGTTGTTTAACTGAACAAACATGCACCAAAAATTCAGCAAGCTGGATTTTTTTTTCACCACAACTGAAGTGCAACGGATCAGTGCAAAGAGCGTCATGGAATTTAAAGGGATGCAGATTCCTTTTGCTTTTTTTAACTGAAGAACGCACCAAGAGCGGATCAGTGTGAAAGCAGCCTTACACAGGTATTTGCAGCTGCCACAAAGTGCCTGCATCTCAGCATCAATCGTACTTTAGGCAATTTTAAGGCCATAGCATGTGTGATCTGATATTACTGACATGTGCCCCACTGATTTCTGGTGCATTCACGTTCTGCTGCCTTTTCCTGTATTTTTCTAAATAGAATTAGTTACTGCAAAGTGCCACCCCTATATCTATTGCCACTATTGCCATAAAAAAATATCAAAGTACAAAAGTACTTTAAAGTACGTCTACTTTAAAGCTTAAGACCACACAGATATACAATAAAACAAATTGATACATTAATTAGTAAAATGTGTTTTAGAATGCAGCTAGGGTAAATAACTGAATTTGACCTGATTTCAGTTCTAGTAATCCCATGTGCAACAGCAGTCAGACTGTGAGGGAGGGGCAGTACTTAGGGCCAGTCAGGTGTCCTGCATGCACATGTACTAAAAAGGAACATGCTAACAGCAGGAAGAGCAGAGAGATGCCCTTATCAGTCCGTTGCTGCTATTTCACTGTACGCTCACAGCCTAGGTCATATACAGTGGGGAAAATTATTATTTGATACCCTGCAGATTTTGCACGTGTGATAATTTTTTTATATTTCAGTGGTTTTTATTAATTTTTTAAACAGTATAAAACAGAGGCAATAAAACACGCCCACGCAGGGGCTATCAATTGCACAGATAAAAAATGAAAAAAAAAAAAAAAAAAAAAAAAAAAAAAAGAAAAAGGGAAAAAAAAAAACAGTGCTCTAACGCCAACAGGGGAAAAGGTACGCCCACGCAGGGGCTATCATTGGCACATAAGTTACAAAACATTAATGTAACTGACAATAACAACTAAAGTCAGCTGTCCAGTCACACCAAAAACAGAGAGAGAGAAAGGAAGAAAGAAAAAAAAAAATTAAAAAATTAAAAAAAAAAAAAAAAAAAAAGCAAAGAGCAGGGGTCCAAAAGTGCCAATACCGAACGCCATTACATCCCCAGACTAGCTGGGGGGAGCGTGGGAAAGGCATATTGCAACCACGGCTCCCATATTTTCAAAAATTTATGTTGGGAGTCGTTGCAGATACTCGACATCTGTTCGTTGAGCATCATAGTGGTCATACGATCCCGCACCCCCTGAAGAGGGACAAACGGACTCTTCCAGGCCTGAGCAATTGTTCTAGTGGCCAATAAAAACAAATAGGAAGCCAACTTCTGCTGGTGAGCCAAGAGGCCCGGTATGGGGCAATGAAGCAAGGCATACCGAGCATCCCGGCATATGGAGAGATGGAACAAGGTGAAAAGGAGGCCAAACACATGAGACCAAAAACTAAACAGTCTCGGGTATGACCACCAGATATGCAATACATCTCCATGATGGCCACAACCCCGAAAACATTGATCACTACAGGCAGGGTTAGCCTGGGCCAACCGAGCCGGAACCCAATACCAACGAAACAATACCTTATAGGCTGCCTCCAGTGTGGCCGTATTAAATGAGCATTTAGCTATGAGTGACCAGGCCTTATTCCAGTCCTCCGGATCCACAGCCACTCCCAGGTTGTGCTCCCACTGAACAACATATGAAAGAGAAGATTGCGACGAGCGTCTGTTCAGAGCTGCATAAAGAAGGGATATAAGGCCCGGGGCGCCCAGACGCTGCTGGCAAAGCTGTTCAAAGGCAGATTTCTGGTACGGGAAAGCAGAAGTGCCCCAGCGAGAGCAGCCAGTGCCGCAATTGAAGGTATCGAAAGAATGCCGCCGGGGGGACATCCAGGGATTCCCGTAGAGAATTCCAGGT